GTACCAATCCCGCCGTCAAGGTATTCACCCCATTGGCAGCAATTGCATCAGTTGGCGGGTCTGAGTCAGTCTTTGCTTTCTTGCGGACTGTGCCAGCCCCTAATTCCTGCACTGGCCCCACCGCCTGTTGCGCTATATTCGTTGCCTCTGCTGACCCATTGGGCTTTCTCTTCTTCCGCACACCCATGACTATAGTCGGCGCCACACCGCTCGCCGCACCTGAAGACGTGTCTGTAGACGTAAGCTCTTTTCTGCCTGTGACCACAAAGCCCCAGTCCTCTACGCCACCCAACACGCCAATTTCCTCCTTCCATTTTTTTGTACTTCGTGCTGCTGCTGCACGATTCGCAAACGTCTGTTGCAGTAGCACTTCGTGTGCACGGTCGTAATTCTTCAGCGAAAAACATATGGTTCCACGTGATGAAGCAGGCCATTTCCAATAAGGACTGGTTTCAGAAGGTATTTTACCAGATTTGGACGTGTTCGAAGAAGTTGACAGGTGTGACGACCTCGATTTGATCTTGGGTAGAACGAGAGGTATAGGTCCGTATTTCAGTTTGGCCTCTTTCTTCCGCTGGCTCATCTTTGGACGTTTAGGGGTGCGACTACTTTTCTGAGGTTTATTCTGTGAGAGTGGTTGAGACAAGGACTGTTGCGAAAGCTCGTCCTCGTCTTCTTCGGGTATTGAAGGCTTCGGTGGCGTGATCACAACCCAGATAAAACCTACTATCCGGCCCGAGGAACACTCTTGTCTGAATGCCATAAACTCCCAGAATTGATCAAGTGTCTTGACACTCTTCCATTGTCCGTTGCTTCTCGAGGGTGTGCCTCCCTCAGCCACCATGGCATCTGTACCCCGGTCTGGAAGTTCTTCGTCTAGTTCGTCAAGAAACCTAGCTTTTGGGTCGTCTGGGAAATGAGGAACGAGGCAGCGCGGCGGAGCAGCAGGATGAGGAGCTATTTGTAGGAGGGGATGGGCAGCAGCCCACCGCCGAGGTGTGTTTGGCGCAGGACTTGGTGGGGTATATCGCAAAGTGTCGTACGTTTCGAAGCCCGGGATCACTAGGTAGCCCCTCGCCGTAGACTCTGCCTGTGATGACGAAGTGGTTGTCTCGGTAGGCTCGCCCTCGACTAGGCGTTGGGGGAAGGGTTTCCGGTCCCCTTCAGCCTTGTATTCCCAGATGATCGGATCCAGGACTTTGCACCACCACTTGACCAAGCCCCTGTCGTCCAGCACATGCTTTTTCTTGTTCTCAATGCTGGCAGGGAACAGATATTGGTCCTGTGCTCTTGCGAACAGAGATATAACCAGTTTCTTGCCTTCCCGTTGCCTTTCTCTTGCAAGCCAAGACACAAAGGTGCGACATATAACTTTCAAGGGTGACGAGGATTGCGATCGCGGTAACTGTAGCTCGGAGAGGTAACCCGTAGAATCGGCTTTGGACACGAAGATGGTGGTGAGGTTTCTCGTAGTGTAGATCAAGATTTCAATGGCAAGCACAAGAACTTCTTCAGGCAACTCTGAGGCTATGGCGTCCTTGGGGGTAATGGAGGCGGCCAAGGTATGCGATTCGCAGTATGTCTTTTCGGACTTGCCATGGGGAGGCGCGGAGAAGAGGGCGGAGGACTTGGAGGGCGGAGTTGAGTAGTGATAGAAGGTGATGGGAACGTCCTTTGGCAATTGCTCAGCCAGCAGCTCTTTCAAGGAGCCGGAGGCACCCGAACTCGCCATACTGGCCCAACAGAAGCATGACCAGGGGAGAACGTCGCGTATCGGGGGCAGAAGATGGGGGAGCGGATGCGCGACCCGAACTAGTACGATTGCGGCAAGGCGCCGTGAGTGCCGCAACTTTTCGATGATGCGAACTTCACCTCCGCCAGCACCAGCGCCTGGACTGGCCGCCCCAATCGGACCCCTCTGCCTTACCCGCCTACACAAACGCCCCAATGGCTTCCAAACGGCCTCTCCATTCACTCGTCTCGACCGCCTCGTCGTCACTACGTTCAGCGCGTCCATCACAAGCCTCCATCGTGCGGACCTCCGCATGCGCATTTTCAACCACCACACCCGCCAAGGCCGCGCCCGAAAACGATACTGAGATTGCACAACGGCCACGATGGAAACAGACACCCCAAAGAATGGTGGCTCCCTTTAGGTTACGGCCTCAGGCAAAAGGTGGAATTTTTAAGGTCAACGAGGATCCCAAACGATTAGATGATGCCTATGTGCGCATGTTAGGCCCTGGCGGCGACAAAGTGTTGGGAGAGGAGGTCAAATGGTTAGCAGTGACACATAAGAGCTTCGACCACGGAAAGAGGGGTTTCAACGACCGGCTGGCATATCTGGGTATGTGTGCATGGGAAACGGCTGGGCAGGCAGGAAACTAATACGGACGCCAGGACGGAGGATTGTCGAACTACAAACATCGCAAGCGCTCATAAACTCACCACAAGAAGACCAATGGTCAAGAGACTCGAATGGCGTGCCCATGAACGACGAATTTGGCCGCAAACCATACCTCCACCCCGCCTTGAACGGACTGCAAGGCTTGACCAACGAGGCAGAGAGTTTAGTGCTAAACAAGTCACGGCTAGCACCAATAGCAGAGAAATATGGTTTGGATAAGGTTACTCGGTGGAAGCCCAAGAGGGTATGTAATATGTTTGATCGAGCAGATCCAATGGCTAATACATAACAGGCGGATAACCTGCAAGGTTCCGGTCTTGAATCCGTTCTCATGACTTCATTATATGCCATTGTTGGGGCTGTGGCACTTGAGAAAGGCGGCGAAGCAGCCAACAAGGTCGTACAAGACAAGATTCTTACACCGCTCGGCTTTAGCTTTTCGCCTGATTCATGACCTTGACAAGATTATAATTGAAAATCTGTACCATATTGTAAACAACTACATGACGCGATGCAGTCATGATTTCAGGGACACTGTGACTTGTTCTGCTCATCTCTTATTTTATCGTCTTGGTAGCAACATCCCCTTCCTGGCTACACGATGTGGGAGAGTTATCATAGTGCAACGGACGTTTTGTTTTCAAAAATGTCGGATCTAATACTAACCAATCATCACATATAGTATTTGTTCAAATACTCGCAACATAGCGTCAAAATTGGTGAACATACGAAGTCATACAACTACCAGAATTGTTACGCCGTCTCAACAATGGAAAAGAGAACGATTAAATTGTCGTTCACTTGTCCAATATGAAGTCCAAATTGACAAGAGGCTCTTAATAATTCGCCGACAAACTGGGTCCCACCATCATTCTTACTCCTACTTGCGACACGCTACACTGGAGAGTCTAGGTGTTAAAGATCTTTACACCAGTGTGTTGCAACCTATGCAGGCAAAGGAAGAGCTGATTGGATCAGATTAGACTGATAAGTGGCTAGGAGTAGTGAAGACGTATTGACTGACGTAGTTCCACTTCTTACCCATGGTGTGCTCAACCCTACTTCGACCCCTACCACACTTCTGGGTAGACAGCACCCACTCATCAGCCTGCTCCATTCAACATTCTACATATATTTAATTGACCCCTTACTTTCAATCTAGTAAACCCTTTTTCGTCACTTGACACCAACTCGATACTCCCTGCCCAACGACACTTATCTACAATGCACTACATACCCCTCATAACGGCGCTCCTCACAATTCTCCTCCTAGACCCAGCCTCAGCCGAAATAAGAATCCACCGCACCCGCTGCAAGAAGCGTATAGGACGATATGCATGTCTATAAAATCGCAATAGCCAAAAACCCTTTCTAACTCCATGTTGCAGTATTCAAACTGCTACACTAACGACCAAAAAGGGTGTGCACTCTTGTGCCCAGTTCAGGTAAGGTGCGGATTGTATGGTTTTTCTGTCAATGGCAGAAACTAAAAATGAGGGTTAGTGTCCTGGTTCGAAATATTATGTCGCGTTTGCGGCTGGACCGATAGCGTGTCATTGTTGGTGTGGTATTACGTATTGAACGTGATTGCGGATTGGAGAGAGAAAGATTTAAAATGTAGTGAGAGGAAGGACGGCGTCAAGATTTGGATTTAAGATACATTTATAAGAACATTGTAAGGCCTGAAATGTGTATAACCCCCCTCACCTACCTACAGCGGTTCTGGACCACCATGGCGTCGTGTTACCGCAAGTTCTATCCCAAGACCATTGACAAATCCGTTTCTCTGTAGACGCATTAACAACTGGAATGCCGAATAACTTCTTCGCATATATCCATTGCTACGCCAAACATCTCTCAACTACACCCTAGATCCCCAGATCCTCCATCCTCCCCCTTCCTTAGTAAAACACCCTGCAATCCACAGCCCCCAAATCTACCCGAAACAGCAACCCACCCCTCCTCCCCACACCCTCCCCTATCTCCCTCACGAAAAAGCAAAAAAATATAAGCACCGTAATCAACACATTGCCCCAAGAGGCAAGCTTCCCTCCACACCCTCTGTCCAACCTTACCGGGGGCGGGCGGGCCCATATACCCAAAACCGGTCAACGCGCGCACCCCAACTGCGGCAAAGGAAAAAAAGAAAATATGATACAAGTACCGTAATCCACGGCTTTGGTTGCGAAATTGCCTAATGCGGGTGGCACTTAGGGTACGGGTAACATGGTTGGTTCGGAAGTGTTGTGCGATAAAGTATTGGGGGGGTCTGTGCGGCGTAGGGCGAGTCGGGCGGTTAGGGCGAGTGGAGAGTGCAGGAATCGATGGGGGTATGGGGGAGAGATACCGGATTGGGAAGGAAGGAAGGAAGGAAGGGGAGTGTTGGGATTGGAGGCGAGGAAAATGTAAAAGAGTAAATGTTGTGTGGATTGGAAAGGTTCAAGTGGTATATGTAGCTATGTAGTGAGAAGAAGAAGATGGGAGAAATAAAAAGTTGGTGTCAGATGATGGAATCTGTGTGACACAGGGTATAAACAATGAAAGTTATGAAAAAAAACACTCTCTCTACGAGTTATCGGACTGTTTCGAAATTTTAAAACGTAGTCCCTGGCTTATTCTTTCGCCAGAACATGGCTTTCGCTGCGTTCACGCTCTTGGGCGGGGGATCGAACTTCGGTGCCGCCTCCTCTATTTCCATTTGCTCGAGCTTCCGCTGCGAATTTCGCTGCAACTCCCTCTTCAGTTTGCGCTCGTCCTTCTTGCGCATCCAAGTGACCCAGATACAGTAGCTCGCAGCGAGGATACCGAGACCGCCGATGACGCCGCCAATGACTGCGCCGATGAGACCTTGTCGCTGCCATTCGGATTGCTGGGGGCGCTGGTATGCGACGGGGACGGATTTGGGGCAAAAGGTTACGGGCATGACTATGTTGTTTTTCTGGATAGCTTCGGCGAGGTAGAAGTAGTTGGATTCGTAGTCGGCCATGAGGTAGACTTGGCCGAGGAAGGCGGTGCCGAGGTAGAAGGGGGTGTTTGCGTCTTCGTCGCGGTCTTGGATTGGGGTGATGTTTGATGCGTTCATGAGGACTTCGGGGGGTAGGGTGACGGTGAAGCCGTCCTCGAGGACGATCGTAAGTGTGCCGTTGAAGCTGTCTTTGAGCCTCAGCGAGTTGTCATCCCAGCTGTTGTCTTTTTGAGCGTTGAGGTGCTTGATGAAGTTTTGTGTGATCTGGTAAGGTAGAGAGAATGGGAACTGCTCCGTTGTAATCTGGGCTTCAAAGTCCTCGGGGCGCGACTTCATGTCGGTGAAAACAGTATTGTCAAAAAGCGATGTATTTGAGTTGTTGGTTGTTCCAGTGATGATGACATCCTTGACGCGGACACTCATTGGGTTGGCGTTGGCCACGTTCATTGCGTACTTGTGCGGCTCGCCTGTGAAGCGCCCAGAGTCGTATCCTCCAAAAACGTTGCTGCCATTGACTACACCTCCAGCGCGATCAAATCCGTGACCAATGTAGAGAGAGTATGTTGATCCTGCAATCATATCCTGCACCACCAGGTCCCGCAGTAACGTTGACGAAGCGCCGACGCCGACTCTCCCTGGAGTTATTGATCCTGACTCTGCAACCTCGACGATCGAGTTGGGTACAAGTGTTTGTGTTGCGCCGTCCGTTTCAAAGTAGTGTGTGTACAATCGAAGGGTCTCTTTACCAAAGAATCCCGAGAGTTTGTCCTGGGATTTGTCTAGTGTCTGGAAGTTCTCCTGCTCCTCAAACCTATATCATATGTCAATCGATGTAAGGGCCAAAAAGAGGAAGCAACATACGTTGTCGAATCTCGAAAGTTGAAGAAGCCGCCTGTACTTGTATCGCAGTTTTTGAGTGTTGTATTGTCTTTGCAGTAGCCGCTCGATGCAAAGGAGGTATGGTTTTGCTGTAATGATGGCCAAAGGCTGTTGTTCTGTGCCGGTGTTCCGAGCCCGATGAATGATCCATACTGGAAGACTGGAGAGTCATGAACGGCTCGCTTGTGTATATCGACATATATCGGCTTCTTAGTGCAATTTGATGCAACTGTTGACTGAGCCAACAGCACAGTTGCAGAGAGATAGAGAAGGAAGGACGCCATGACGAGTAGTAAGAGGTGCTCAAGTCCAGTGAGCTGCAAGTCAAGGAAGAACAAAGTACGATGCGCTTATAGCACCGACCCACGATAAGAATCACGGAACGTCTCAAGCTAGAGTCTTGGATGTACTGCAGGAGATACAGCGTCTTTGTACTTCATGTCCCAATCAATCTGTACCTCGACGCACTAAGACGGGCCTGTGGGCATTTGGCCAGTCGGATGCGGGGTCAGCTATTCTTGCATGCGGTAATATCCACCATCCGGCTCTGATTGCGCATAGCTGCATTCTTGTGCTGTGCCCGGAACCGCACGGATCTCAACCGCTACAGTGAGCGCCTGCTGATGCTATTGTGGACATACTACGACCTTGGGAGGAGTGGTGCCAGCGCTTCGGACAGGGAGATACATTAGGAACAATGATGATCCCCTCCGATGCCCAAGGATTGTAATACAGAGACGTCGATGATTGGGCTCGTCTTGTAGGCTTCATAGACTAAAGATAGCAGGCGTCTACAAGATGTAATCGATTGGACACGACGTTCTCACCAGCAACGCAAGCGCCCGAGCGCACGGGCCTCGGTGCAGATGTGGATCGATGGCTATCTATTCTTAACCTCGCGCCTACATGGGTCTTGAATACCAGAACCACAAGGTTTGCGTATGCGCCGAGCAAATCTGTAGGTAAAAGGCACTCGAGCTACTACATTCCCGAGATGATCATTTCCCCCTGTTATTCCCGATCCGTGCACCCTTGCACGGCACTGTACTTCCTTGCTTGCCAGGCTGGTCGCTCTCAGTTGCCATTGTATATGTATGCATGTTGCCTGCCTTGATACCCGGATGACTCTCATCACGTATTGTACGCGTGGTTTCATCTGAGGGGCCTTGGCTGATTGGTGACTCTCTCACTAAATCTGACTGTTACATTTTTCGTGCCACAAGCACTTCACAATTGATGCCTAAGCGCTTACGCGATTTGCGCAAGTAAGGGCGAACGCGTCATGGCCTCTTATCTAGTCTTATGTACAGAGCGACTTGTTGCCATTATTTCTTAACTCGTGAGGTACAATTTAATTATTTACTTTGGTATAATGCGCGGAAAGCCTGTATAGATAATACACTGAAGACAGGAAGTGTGTACTGGCCTGAATATGAACTCTGATAAATCGCGTTTTAATGACGTGAGCATAACAGCCACCGTACCCGATAAAACGCCTGATGTGGTTTGATTGACAAACACGTGCATACCATATCTTCAGGCTTTCCCGATACGAAATTCTTGTCGCAATATGCACCGTATTTCTACTTCCGAACCTCCAATCTAGCCACGATGCATCGGGAGGCTATGTCATGGTATGATGTGTAGCAATACGAGCGGCAAGATACAGAAGCGCCCAACACCATACTCCGTTTCCCGCTGTACTGAAATGATGACGAAAAACAGCCCAGAGGTAGCCGATAAGACTGTGCGCCAGACATGCCCGATAACTTGTTGAAGATAAAGCAGACCAAAAAGAGTTACTGAAATGTGTGAAAGAGACTAGACGCACTCACGAATTGATGAGTACCCATCGCTTTTCTTTCTCGGTGGGGCCTACCCGTGCAGCAACAACACTCAGAGTATTGGAGATGGCGTCTTTTGGCAGCTTCGGGAACGCTTTTTTCAAAGACTCAATCATACCAAGCTTGGTGAGATCTTTGCCTTCAATCTCCGCCTTGAAGGCGGAAAGTTGCTCGGCGGGCACCATTCGTTTGGCCTTGGCAGGCTTACCTGACGTACTTGATGAAGTGTTCTGAGGACCATTTAGGGTGTTGAACAAGCCGTTCATAGTGCGCTGCGTGAGCGGTGCCTTTGGTGGATTCATAGCGCCATTACTAGCCGTTTCTTTGTTTGCGGTGGTGGGGGCGGGGGTTGCAGTTGCCGGATCCGTCGCCCAGTATGCAGTAGAAAAGGGATCAATCGACCGCATTTGCGGATCTAGTAAGAACTCCATCTTGAATTCCTTGAAGTCTGTACAGATGGCGTCGGATCCGTCGTTCAGTCGAGATACGCTCTCTGCATCCTCCCAACATAAGCCAGTGCTAACAGGTACCAGGTCGCCACTAATGAGTCCGCGTTTGAGTTGTGGATCCTCTTCATCATCAAGGAAGCCATCCATATCGTCATCTGCCTCATCTTCGTTGTCGTCTTCACCGTCAGAGTCCAAATCTTCGCCTTCCTCGGGCTCATCCCACTCGGCTTCAGAATCGTAGTCATAATCAGTATCCTTTCGGACTCTTGAGAGAGGATTGCGTGCAAGACGGGAAGCCTCAGTGTGTGTATATGGCCTAGTATATGTTCCATAATAGGGCGGGCGTACGTCCGTGCAGAAATGGATATACTTCATTGGTATCTCTTTCAGCATCTCCAATGGATGCCGTGATGCTGCACTCTTCGTAGAAGTGATATCAATAGGGTAGTCAGATGAGTTATTGACGCAATCCACAATTTCTGCAATCGTAGCTGTCCTATTGCCTCGAACATTTCGCTTTGGGAAGAGTGACACCAAAGTCTCCCGCGCTATTGGTTCCGAATACGAATCTTTCTGTGCAACGATATTCTCTAGTCGGTTTCGAGCGGCTTCTAATCGTTCTGGACTGTTCAGAAGGGCATTCGTCGGCGCAAGAATCGTGTGTGCAGGTATGTTAAACGGCAAGAAGTAGCGTTCGTAGTCTGATTTCGCATCCTTGACAATAGCCTTCTGTGGAGAGGGCGGTATTGAGTTAGTACTTGCTCCAGATCTGTCTGGTAATGATACGGAGGTTGTGGGATTCTGGGATGAAGCTACTGCAGCCTGTCCCGGGCTTGTCCCTGCCTTTGGCTTCACAAAGAAAGCGTTCAGCTTCATCTGTGACTGTTATCGAGTTAGCGTTGCTTAGTTTAGTAAATGCAGCACCGGGAGACAACTCGGTGCTGCAGTCGGAGAAGGGTGTTGCGGAACATGGCAACAGCATCCATCTCTGTTTTCAGTGGGTATAGACTCACCCGTGCCTTCTTTGCCTTTTCCTCCTCAAGGCGTTGCTGTTCCTCTTCTTTTATACGCTTCTTTTCATCACGCTCCTCATGCTTCTTCCGTTTCTCCTCTGCCTTGAGTTTCTCTTCAGCTTCCTTTTGTGCCTTCTTTTCTTCGCGCGCCTTCGCCTTCGCCTCCTTTTCAAGGCGTTGTGCCTCTTTCTCTTGAGTAGTCAGCCTCCTCCTTTTGGCTGCTTGCTGTGTGCTGCTCGATGTGGCGACATCTGTGTTGGAAAGACTATGACCGTCGGCAGACTTGCTGTTGGGTCCGGTCGAACTCGGTGCGCTACTCTTTAGAGGCGATGGTGTTTGAACTGAGAGTACTGAAAGAGGTGTTGAGGCTTGCGAATTGGTTGTGGACTTGGCTGGTGTGATGGGAGGTTCGACTTCATCTTCGAGCGGACGCTTCTGGGGAACCGGTGCGACGGGGGTGGGGTCCTCCATTTTTGGTGATGAGTGCTGTGATTTCGAATTGGGATTCTTTATGAATTGTATCCCTCTGAACGAATTGTGGCCCAAAATGGATTAGGTGGGATGCGTTGTAGTTGAGAGCGGGATGGCGATTGCGGGCGTTGAGGTGACGCGAAGGTGGAGGGCGCGACGCGACACGCGTGGAAGGCGCGGCTAAGGCCCAGGGTGCTGATTAGTCGATTGCCGCACTCTTCAGGGCGAATAGTGCCTAGATTCCTATTTGGGAATAGTCAGTATATGCTTGAAACTCAAACACCAACATCTCACTTTCTCAGATCCCATTGAAATTTTTTAAAACCGAGTTTGTGGCACAGGACAAGTATAGAGATTTGTATTGGCGCATTGAAACGATTAGGGGTAGCTCTCATCTTTCGTGAAGGTAGCTGCAGGCGTCGTGTCTTCGTGTCGCATGGTAGCGCACCGTCGTTCTTTCCATATGAGCACTTACCCTAAGACTCCGATTAATTTGAATCATGCCGCATTTCATTTTCTCTTCACTGATCTTCTAGAGATTGGCATTCATCTCTATTCTAACCTCCTGTGTCTTGTTGATGGCCCTAGCTATGGACGAAGACGACTTTGAGGACCTGCTCTTTGGAGACCCGGGCACGCCAATGTGTCCAAGCGACATGCTGCTCGATGAATCTAACGACGATATTCTCTTTTCTAATCGACATGCACAGTTCCACGATTGGGAGTCAGCAGATACCATCAGTTCGCCTACTGTTCCTGGTGTGCTATCTGGGGAGCACACACCCACGAACAGTGAAACCAATGTTTACGAACAGCATGGCCGCCATACCGCTGAACCTACTCAGAGACCCGTTCGTGACAGGTCTTTGCGTCATATTAGTCTTGGTGAATTGCAGCTGACTCACCTATAGGTACTGGGTGATCGCTCGTATTGAAGCCATGCTAGAAAGAATCGTTGACAATCTTTTGGAACAACATAAGTCGCTTACCATAACCCTAAAATCCCGTGCAAACTTTTCTCGTCGAAACGCTCCCAGTAATGAAGGAGATGGATCAATTCCCAAGCCCAAAGAGCGCGATATCAACTTCCCAGGCGCCAATGCTCAAGAAGCCTGGAAATTCAGTTAGTGTCCTTCTGTTTTTCAGAGTGAGAACTAACATTCGCAGCCGTGCTGTTACGCATCCTGGAGCTCATTCATGGTAGTCTCCTTGACAATACCATGATGACCAAGCGGTGCTTGATGCAGTCTCATCTATAGAAAATAGAATCTAACAAAAAATAGGGATATCTATTATCGACACCCCGATCTATTCGTCAAGCAGTCCGTTGTAGATCGATACGTAGATGATCTTGCATGCACGTTTGGCATTACTAGATCACAACTCAATGTGGTGCGCAACGTCCGGAGAGGGCAATTTGACATGACTAATGCTTGTACACCAGACTGCTGCTGCCAAAGGCTTAGTGGCTGGAAACTTCAAACTAGAGCAAGCCAACAACCTGTTTCATAGAATGAGCAGTAGTGAGGTGGGATCGAGCATGTTAGTTGCGTTACAGAAGTCTAATCCCATACCAGGGCCTGCTCATTCCTGTCGTTCGTGACAATGATAGTTGGGATTTAACAGAGACCCAATGGGTCCTCATAATTGAAAAGGAGGTACGATCAGTTCTCTTACATACTCCGAGCTGAGGTACTGATGAAACGCAGGCGACATTTCGATCGTTGATTGGATCAGCGCAATGGAGTATGTTGGGCTTACACGGTGTGGTCGTAACTGTGAGTCAATAGCACACGTTGTCAATAAGTGCTAATAATTAAAATAGGCCAAAGGATATCCTGATGTCGCTTCTAGGCAGTTCCTGCGCCAACTTGGGAACACTGCACCCCACATTCCCATGTTCGTTTTGGTTGATCTTGACCCCGATGGTATCGCCATTCTGTCGACGTACAAATATGGTTCTTACCGCCTTATGCACGAAGACGTTGCACTCATGAATACGCCCGCACTGAGTCTGCCCAATATCCAGTGGCTGGGAGTAAAGAGAGACAACATGAGTCTAAGTCTGGTAGGCGAGGACGGGGCAGAAAGGAAGATGATACATCAACCACAAGGCCTAATGAGGCTCACAATGCGCGATCGTACCAAAGCAATACGAACGCTGGAGTGGGATCTGTGCGGAGAAGATGGACTTGAGCGAGGCTGGAGACAGGAGCTACAATGGATGCTCATGCTCAATATCAAGGCTGAGATGCAAGTCCTCGACGAGCTACCTGGCGGATTGGTGTCATGGCTGAGCGATCAGCTTGGGCATGCAAATAATTTACTGGTGACTGCTACAAAGACAGGCAGTGATTGTTCAGACGACGGCATGCTCTTCTAGAGGCACTGCAAGAGCTTGTGCTTCAACTGTTAATCGTACACGGGCGTGTGGAGGCTACATGCCCTACCTGATTTCTTGCAGAGGACATGTGCAATACTTATCCTATTCGCTGGACGCATCATTGATGTGTTCGGCACAAAACATCAAAATTACAAAGGCGCCAATCAGTCCCCGCATTACTCTAGTCTCGTCTGCGAACCAGAACCTACTGCAAGTAGCGCCGATGGAGTAAGCGTTTGTTATGAGGAGTGATTGTCCAATAGGATGTGAGCCGTGCCGACTACCCTGCCAAGACTGGCGGTCCATGTCGGCCAACGCATCATCCTTCTCAATCACTGCAGGCCACGTTCAACAACTCGGACGGCACGCAAAGCGGGCCTACAATGCATTGACCTGCAGTTTAGAAACAAAGCCCACCATGTCCGGATCCGCCGCCCTTCCAAACGACCCCCGCATTTCCTTTCAGGCGCCATCGCTGTCGCAAGGCTCCGCCAGCCACTCCAGCTGCGAGCAACATGGCTCAGCTACCACGGAGTCGAATGCAACCCCGCAGCCATTGACGTCTATAACGACCACTAAGCAGTCGGTGCCTCTGAGTGTCTTCTCGACACTCTTGGGGAACAACTCCACGTCCACACTCAGTGCCCAACCCATCTTGTCGGACGAGGCTGTCCCGGCCATCCTCATCCACGCTCAACCCCCGGACACTCAAGAAGGCCCTTCTGACCTTACTGCGAGCTTATCGTCAGTCCCCAGTGCGACTACCACGCTGACCAACACGTTGCCACCGACTCAGTCTGCCGCCCTTCGCGCCCTCAATGCCCCCGCCTTCCACTCGTCTCCTTCCAAGAGCAAGTCTGCAAAATCGACATCTAGTCGAACAACTGTCACCAGTCAGCCTGTCGTGGTACGCACGTACTCGGGTTCACGGCATACTTCTCGCGCTGGGTCAGGGTTCAACACCCCGCGCTCTTTTGCAATGAATGGGAATAGCCACACTTCGGCCCTGTCAGCTGGTCTGGCAGGCAGAAGCGAGCAGTTGCCCTCTGCCGATGACTTTTCCTTCTCGGCAATCCTACGTGCCGTCGACCCTGAAATCAGAGATGCGATTGATGCTATTGCTGAGATCTGTGCCAGGAGCAGAATGAGTCTGGCAGATGAGTACGACTCACATCTTCCCCCACAAGGTGAGATCACTGGGACAGGACCAGGGTGGGCTGCTAGTACCGGAGCGCTTGTAGGGCGTGGTCGGTTAAACCGAATCAGTCAAGGATGGACTGCTGCAGATAATACACTGATGGCTGTGCCTGAAGCTAGTAGCTCTAGCGAAAGATTGGCACAAGAGGGCAAGGCGGAGAGCAACAAGAAACGAAGCCAGTCAGCATATGGCAGCTTGAAGAGTGTCATCAGTGGTGGCAGTGGTAAGAGAAAAGCCATTGATGGTGATACCTTTCGTGAACAAGAGGCCAGCAGCTCGAAGCAAGACGAAGTGCAGAACCGGGGACCTCCTTGGGCAGTTCACACTTCAACCTCGTCTTCCCATCCAGCCATTACCCTCGCTGCACCTACCGCCTCGAAGCATCTCTCCCTCGACACATCATCTACTATGCAGGACAAGATCGGTTTCCTCATGCACACATCAGACATTCGGGCTCAAAACGAGGCCCTGCAGAGGCCTTCTTCACGCCAACGCAGACAAACAACACGTAGCCTGCCGTCTCCACGAGCCCGTGCAGGTACATTGGGCTCCTTGAAAGCATGGCTGCCATGGCCCCGCCCTTCGGACCTCAACTACGATACCCAGCAAGAACTAGCAAGAGCCGAGGACCGACTTCGAAGAATGTTAATGTCGCCACAAAATCATGGCAAAGGTAAAGCCATTGTCAGCGTTATTTGATATTGTCAAGCGTCTGGGTGGCCTGTTATCTAATCAAGTAACGCGTTTTTTTGTTTAAACACAACCAGTAAAGATACCCAGATGAGAGGTACACAAGAAGAGAGGTGAACCAAGTTGTACATACTGTGGACTCTTTTTGGATACGTTGGAAAGGGAGGTTACCTGTTATAACGAGCGACACAAATATCAAGACAGAGAAGAGACGAGACTTATACGCGACTCCCTGGAGGAGCACAGACTTTATGACTTATGGCCCCCACCTGTTTTTAACGAATATCACGACTGATGAACCTATATCGAGCGAGGTTTCGAAACCCCTCTATGACACTTTTTCCTTTGTTTTGTGGTTTGCTATAGCTATGTTTTGTCAAGTAAAGAATATAAAGAATGTCTACTGTACCTTTTTGAATCTAGATGCTCTGATTATGTGCTTTTTTGTCGCGAGTGGGAATATGAATAATGCTTGGAGCTCTGATACGTAGAAAGAAAGAGAGAGAGAGTATCCTACGGACAGACATCCTTGGTTAGTCGCACTATGCTCCGTGAACAAAACACCAGACGTAAAGCAAAAGCAGAAGAGCGAGTGAGTAGAGATCAAATGCCATTCTCTCCCCAAGAAAAATGAGAAAAAAAAAACACCCCGTCCTTTAGTAACGAAAATAAAGATAACACACCCCAATCACCCCAGCATGACGCGAGTCCGCAAAAAAAAAAAAAAAACCAAGGACATAAACAATGCATGCTAATCATGCAATTCCTGGTCCCACCCCTCCTCCTCCTTTCTGAATAAATACAGAACAAGGAACACAAGTCAGATGCAAAAAAAAAGAGAGAGAAAAAAAAAGAGGTGAATAAGCCATTTGCCATTCTCTGACGCCAAAATAATGCAAGAGAGCTCTTACTTCCCTCTCCCTCTATTCCCAGAAAGAGAGCCACCAGACAGAACAGAGAAGAGAAAGAAAGTCGCCTAAGTCATATATTCCCCCCCGCATCCCGAATCATCCCATTCATCAGCATCATCGTAACCAAACTCCCCCCTCCCCTTCCTTGCTGACCTCTATACATTCACGCATGTAGAACGGCCATATCAACCATCTCACCCTGAGAATCTACCGTTCATAGCCAGAATGATCCGTCGGTATTGGCGAGGCAGACGCAGGTTTCCAAATCTTGACGCGCATGTCGTCGCCAGCCGAGGCGAAGGTAGTCGGGTCTTTGGGGTGCCAGGCTACGCTGTTGACGCAGCCGGGGTGGGCATCGAGGGCTTCGATGAGGAGACCGTTAGAGCGCCAGATGTATATCCTCGAGTCTAGACATACGATGTTATTAGCAAGTTTATTCATTAGGTCGGAAATTTAGGATCGGCAGAACTTACCCTCGCTGCCGCTAACGACAAAGTTTTCATCGGCACCGCCAAAGGCAGATCTGATGATGAACTGTTTCTGGACGTGCGCCTCGAAACGCTGGATGACGTCGCCAGTGTCGATTTCCATGAGTTTGATTTGATCGGGACTCATGCTGACGAGCATGTGGCGCGAGTCCTGGCTGATCATCACACTGGTTAGTTTGACATCGTCGAGTTGAAACTCGGCGATCTTCTCGTAGCTGACAAAGTCAAACACTGCTATTGAGCTTTCGGTGATGATGACGAGGCGCTCGCCGTTTGGCGATACTGCAATGTCGTTTGCGCGGAGCCTTGCGCCGCCGTCGCAAAAGTTGTGCTTGAGGTCCCCGTTGAGATCCCAGATTCCACAGCCCATGCGGTCGTCTTGCGATCCGATGATTACGCGTGTGCCGGATGGGTCCCATGCTGCTGTTGTGCATGGATAGGTAAAGTCACTAATGCATTGTATGCATGCACCCGACTATGCAGGTTAATTTATGTCAAATACAGGGGTGCATGAATGTCGTACCTTGACGTCCCATATCCTCGCAGAATTCTCTGGTTGAGAGCAGCATGTCACAATCTTGGTATCATCAGGACTCCACGCAAGATGAGTAACACCTGAATCTCGGTGTTCGTCTAATTGGTGTAGCACCCTATATGTGCTCGTTTCGTAGATGATGATTGTGCAATCCTTGCTCGTCGACGCCAGCTTGGTGCCATCATTCGAGTACTGCAAAAACCACACCTCGTCCTTGTGATGTCTCAGATCAAGTACAGCCTTTGTAGGAAAATCGTCTCTCTCGCAATTGTGATTTAGGTAGAGCGAGGGTGACGCGGCCGTGTTGTGGTACAAGCAATTAGCAATCCAGCTGTCTTTTACCTCGTCTAATAATACGGCTAACCGGTGTTCTGGAATCATAACACTGGGCGAAATCGACCCTGTAAAGCGTTAGTGGACAGCCTTGGCATTGGTATGCAATCACCACTTACTCGACAGATCTGAAAGGAGATGCATTCGCGACTCGCCGCGAGCACCATCCCACTGAGCCTGATGTCTCAAATCTTCAGCAGATTGGCACATCATAAAACTAGCAGCTGTCAGCACAAATGCAAATGCGGAAACAGGGCAGGATGGAAGACTGACGCTGAAAGAGCGTGTAACCTGCCCACATCTTGATGAAGTGGCGTCAACTCTTGTCGGAGTACTTGAAGCGCTTTTGAAAGATCTCTTCGCTCCAGCAATTCCAGATATTTTTGCTGCTTCAGCCAAAACAGCATAACTTCCCGATTGGCACCCTCAGCGAGCGTCAGACCCGCAGATTGCCGCGAGCCCGATTTTGACCTTGACTTTCCCCACGGCTTTCCATACGAAGCATCCAAACCAACGCCGCCTCCGTTATCATTTGCATTCGAGCCAAATAATAACTCTTCTGCCTCTTCCCAATCACCGTTCAAAACCGAGCTCCGGAATGCTGCAACCGTGGGGCCCTCGAGCTGAAAACCACTCTCTTTACACAATGCGCTTGCTGCATTGTGATATCCCAAGTCGGTCAGACTTTGTATGAGTATCCGCGTTACTTCTTCCCTGTCGTGACCGAAAAAGGTCGCCGGAACCGATGCTCCTCCGTTCGCTACCGGGCCTCCATTCGTGTAGGAGCCATTGCTCTCAGTCCGGTTGTGGGAGCCACCATTCGCATGCTTGCCCAGCGGCGACCTGGGTGCCGAGGATTGTGACGAACCGTTTGTAAAGTTTCGCGAGGGCGATTGTGATGTCTTTGAGTCGTCGTTATCAAGGCGCATGGTCCCGTCGAGTCTGCGCCTGCGCTTCGAGGTGTGGCGGGTTAGCCTGCCTCGGTCGGTGCGCGAAAGAGGGTCTTGGTCGCCGTGGTCGTTGTGGTCGTCGCTGTCGGAGAAGCTGTACCTGCGCTTTCCGGCTGGAGTTCGTTGGGACGGAAGGATGTTGGTGGTGGGACCGGGGAGAGTGGAGGGGGCAGAGATGACTGGGGAAGTAGAAGAAGCGGGGGATGGCGGAGTGGATGGGCGGTCGGCGGCGATTGGGGAGGGAAAGTCTGGGGAGGTTTCGTCTGCCAGGACGAAGACTGGGCTTGGTTTACCCGCAGATGGCGCGGAGATGGATTCGTGGCAGCCTGTTGCCAGAAGGGGGGCTTTGTAATCTGTGGCTATGTAGAGGTCATGAATAGAAGGCTCCAGAGCATGGACGGGCAGTGTGCGCAGTGTGTAGACTGGCGTGGGTATGCGACAGAAGAGGGGGGGCAAGAGAGAACGATCGGGGTTGTGGAGAGAGCTGAGAGGGATAAAGCAGCAGGCGATGTCACGAGCCAAGAGAGATGGATGATGCTGCCGCCAGGGCCTGACTGTTGTTCGCCGATACCAGGCTGAATGAAGCTGTCCCAGGGGTTGACACGTCGATATACGGTCGTGAAGAGGATCGTGGCCGTGGTGTGGAATTGTTTTGGTGTTTGGAGAAGCAGGTGGCTGACGTTACGCAGCTGCTGGCTACCTGGGGGTGCAGCGAGCGGTTGCGTCAAGCGTCATGCGCCAAGTGGCAGTCACGACGTGTAAACGGAATGGTCCGACAGAAATTAAGGGCCAAACAGTAAGCAGCCAGAGTGTCTGGCAATCAAGTGTATGGATTCAAGTGGAAAAGTACGCGGGCAACTAACAAGATGCAAGGGCCCTGGACGATATGGGGTGGGTTACTTAGTAGCAGGTGGTCCCTGATGAGCGCCGATAAGAACGCAGGCTAGCACCCGCGCCGTCGAGTATCTTTTAGTACACGACCTCACGCCCAACACCACGTCACATGAGGAGGCCTCATTCGCCGGGACCCACCGAACAAACCATCACATGCCATGAACCACTAGACCGCTCAATCCAAACTAGTTTTACCCTTTGCTCTGGAAGAAGAATTGCATTTACATTCTCAATTCCGTACTACTACTGGCTGTAGTTATAGCATACTATCCTATTCTAGTTCTACCCCCTAACCCCTCACATCCTCATCGTCGCATTCCCCTCTGCCGCTCCATGCTCTTTAAACCAATTCAAAAACTGGAACATACTCGCCTTGGGATACCGCTCCAAACTCTCATAATCCACATACTGCAGCCCAAACCTAACCGAGGTACCCAGCAGCCACTCAAAGTTATCATATATCGACCATCCCCACGCGCCCGTCACATTGACACCATCGACATGGATCGAGAGCAAGATGTTATCTAGGTACTGCTGATAGTAGTCCGCGCGCTTGAGATCCCAAAGTGCGGCGTTGATGTTGCTCCACTGCGCTTCGAATGGCTCTGCGAAGCCGAATTCGCTGACGACGATGTCAGGGATGGAGGGGAAGAGGACTTGAGTAATGTGCTTGAGGTAGCGGCGTACTCCTGCAGGTGCAGAGTAGAACCATGACATGGCTGGGTCAGCTGCGGGTCCAATGGGGAAGCCATTGGGAGCTATGCTTGCGGAGCCAGCGCAGTCAGGGAACGAAGGGTGAGAGCGGTTGCTAGTGCAGGCCTCGAGGCCGCCGTTGACTTCAAAGGCTACAAACGACGAGTAAGGGTCAATGGCGTAGAAGTCACATGAGCCCTTGATCAAGTCTTTTTCTTCTTGTGTAAACTCGGGCAAGAGGTCACCAAGGGTGTCTTTGAGGGATTGCGGGTAGTCGCCGTCAGTCCAGCAACCTCCAAACCATCCAATGCTAAAGTCAAAGTTGCGTTGCCGGGCAACTTCGTCTTCGGGCTTTGTGCTGTTAGCCTCGTAGTAGTTGCCGCTGTTCTTGAACGTGATGCGGCCACGGCCCTTGAATTCCTCGTGGTACCATTTTGCGACTTTGGCGTGGGCAAGCAGCGTGTAGTGGCCGCACAAGAAGCGGGCTTTGATGCCAGGCCAGACTCCGTTAGGCGCCGGATAGTACTCGCCAGCTGGGTAAGATGCATATTGCCAGTTGCAGTACTGGGGCTCGTTGATGGTGAACCACTCGTCGACAAACGCATCGTAGCGAGTGATGACAAACTTGGCGTAGTTGAAAAAGTCATCTACAACGCGGCGGTCCGTCCATCCGCCGTACTCGTTGAAGATTGCGAGTGGAGTATCCCAGTGGAAGAGCGTCACCGAAGGGTGAATTTCATTGGCATGCATAGTCGCAATCACATCATCGTAATGTGCAACTGCTTCCTCGTTGACAGGCCCATTGCCAAAGGGAAAGAATCTTGGCCACGAGAAACTGGGACTAAATGCCTTGATACCCAACTTTGCAAGTCGAGCAAAATCCTGCTTGTACAGATAGTAATGCTGAGCAACAACATCACCAGTCGTATTGTCCGCCACAAAGTTGGGCACGCGATGTGAGAGTAGGTCCCAGATGCTGGGCCCTTTGCCCTCATCCTTAGCAGCTCCTTCAATCTGATATGCCGAAGAACTCAATCCCCAGACAAAGTTCTTGGGTAACTTCAGACCCTCAGTTTCGGGGTACCCAGTACCGACCAGGGCATGGTAGTAACGCGGGTCTGGCTGTGGATATACGGATGGCTCGAGAGTCGGTTCAACAGTCGTTGTAACCGTACCCGTGACAACAGGCCCTACTTGATCCCAGAGCGCCGCAAGTGCATTGTGCGAGTAGTCGGTTCGGGTAAAAGGAGTAGGTTGTGCAGAAGCATTGTAGCTAGAAGTGCTATATCCAGTCGGCTGAGCAAACGAAAGCGAAGAAGACCCATTGGCAGCAGCACCAGCAATTGGCCGAGCCAAAAGCAGCAACCCAGCAAGAGGCGCCAACCGGTCCATCTTGTAAGAGAAAACCTTAAACTGCAAGATGAAAAAAAGGGCGCTCAGAAACAAACGGCAGACGGGATGGAGGCCCAGTACTTGTACTCCAAAGTACCTCGAATACCCCCCAACTCCTCATGTAAGTAACCAGCATTCCGAAGCCCCGCGCCGAATCCTCATTCCTTCCGGCATTTTCTCCTCGTCGATTTCTGCACGTAACCCCGGTACGCTGGTGGCTCGGCATACATGGAAACCCCCCTCAGAAACGTCGCTCAAGAAAACATGTTGTTAGTACCTTGCAAAGGTAGGCGTGTGCCGTCAAGCCAACAAGACCAGCGCCATTGCCCAATGAGACACGCAGCCAAGGTTCGCTTCCAAGCCTTGTGCCGCGGAATACAAGAGGTCGCGGTGGGCGTGTTGGAGTAGCAATGCACGGGAGAAGGGCTTAGTAGACGTCATGTTCGAAAACAGGAGGTTGGCGGAAGAACCGGGGTGAGGTTCCGTTGCCCGCAGCGGGAAACAGGCATTGCGGAGAGCTTGCGGCGACTACTATTGGTGGATACTACTACGAAGCCAAAAGCTTTCTCCACAAGTTTCTTGTGCAGAAAAGCGCTTGCGAGCAAGCAGCAGCAGAACTTTCGATTTGAAAAATGACGGTCCAAGACAATGCCGTGCAAAAACTTGTGGGGTCCTAAGCACGGCATGCTGAGCAGGTATCATTTTGCACGTCTAGCCGGTCCGCGCCCCCGAAATAATGTTCGGAGTTGTCGGTGAGTTTGCTAAATGCACGACAAGAGTACAAGCAGTTGCCTAGACGGGATACATAGCACCTCTGATTAGTGTCATTCGGATACCGCAAGGATGAAAGGCAAATAGGCAAATATAGGTCAAACATAACCTAGATCCGCCGAGGTAATTAGGTTGTCTGGTCTTACGCAACTTGCAGTAACACCGGATATTCTATTCGAGTAACTAAGTCCGATTTTCTAAAGTTTGAATCCAATTTTGGCGCATCTGGTCGATGGCTCGATATGGTCGTAAAATGCCACAAAGATGGTGCAAGACTTGTTGGGTATATGTCTAGCATCTCGGTAACAGGCAGTCATTAGCAGTCATTAAGCGGAAGACCTTAAGCCTTGCGCTGCTTCTTTGCAGGCGGTTCTTGGGCGGATTTCCGTCCCTTTCCTACAAGGGCACGAATGTCAACAGGCTCGTCGTCATCGTCGTCGTCATCGTCATCATCGTCGCTGTCCATGGCATCAATGTCGGATAGCTCCTCATCATCCTCTTCCTCTTCAAAAGTAGCCTCTGCGATTTGTTAGCACCCGAATCGTTAAGTGCGAGCATGCAACGTACTGTAGTATCTGATGGCATTGGGCCAGATGTCTTCAGCGATAATAGTAGCGACCTCGTCACCACCGGGGAAAACCTCAATCTCTTGGTAATCGAGTGGGTCTTCATCGTCTTCATCCTCGTCGTCGTCGATCTTCTCTCCTCGTCTGACCTTCTCGAACCTCTCCCTCTCTTCCTTTGCAGCTTGTGCTGACTCTTGCGCGCTAACCCATCGGTAGCCGGAAACGAAAGAGAAGAGACCGAAAAAGCTGATCGAAGCATCCGTGGCGGTCTCGATCATCTGAGCAAGCTTCTTGTACTCAGCCGACTTGACCTCCTCTTTCCTTGCTGCTCCGTTGGTAGTATCGGCTGCCAGCCTGGCTCTCAACTGACCAAGCTTGTATGCAGCGTCAGTCAGACCGTCGGTAAGGTCCTTACCCTTCTTCCAGTTGATCTTGACGGGCTCGGACACCAGACCCTGCCAGTCCCTGGTCTTACGGAACCAAAACTTCTTCTCCAGAACCTTGTCCTCGAAGTATTCGTTTTCCGTGAAGCCAAGCCTGAGCAAGAAGCTGCGTGGTGAGCCATTGGGGTCATCCAGCTCGAAGCGCGAAACTTCAACCGTAGACAGGCACTCTGCGATGAGCTTGGAGTCGGTAGGTTGGACGAAGCTGTCAATCTCGGGAGGCGCTTGCTCGAAAACTAGGGCCCAGAAGTGAGGGATCTTCTCCACAAGTTCGGCGCGCTTCTTGAACAGCGGGGTCTGGATTGCCTCAGCTTTGCGAACTACATGTATGTTAGTATTGCACCCGTCGCATCAGCAGAAGCAGAAGGAATGGAGTATCGCAAAGAGCGCTACTCCGGGAGGAGTTGATCTATGCAACTATACGATCCTGCTCTCCACGTAAGAGGGAGTGCGACTTACTGATTTCTTCCTCAGCATCCTCAAACTCGTGCTCAAGAGCCGCAAGCTCTTCGAAGCGAGCAGAAACTTCTTCGTGTGTATGGTCCTCCATTTCGATATGTTTTAAAAGATACTAGATTCAGTATCGCAGGTGCGAAATATTGAATGTGAGTTGTCGTTGAGGTCGGATCGTTGAACCTTGGAGCATTTCTCACAAAATTTCGCAAATTGTTGCAGGGATCTGGAGCTACTTGAATGGGCTCCACTTAAAGCGGAGCCATTCCGCCCCGCGTTTTTTGCGCATACTTACGCCATACCTTTTGCTTGGCAAGCTCTCCGGGTAAAGGCATTGTGAAGGTTGAGGCATGTATTTCCTTATGGTAATACTAGATGTGCAGATGTGAGTGAGAGCTCAAATATCAACTTTACCATGGGTTGAGTGCAGAGCCAAGAGTGATAGCCATAGTTATTGACGTATGACTCCTACTTGTCTATATGATATCTTGTTTCGCCTGTGGTAGTATACTTTCCACACATTCACTACAAACATAATCTATCACGCATTCTATACAGCAAAGTTCAACCCAACTTAAAGCCTTACCTTTCCTGTTGCCTTCTCGCTATGGGAGGCCTAGCATTTGCAAATACTTCAACGGAGTCTGGACAACCAATTATTGTCCCCCGACTATCTCGAGAACAGTACAACGAGCTTTCTGCACGCTATCAGCGCGCCCTACAGACAATCTTCGAGAAAGTTGTCATTCCACGCGAGGCACCGGGCAAAGTAGACCATGGAGATATCGATTATTTAGTCGACGGACTCCGACCTCCATACACAGAGAGCAATATTTGGGACGTTATACGCAATCTCTTCAATGCTGAAGCACACATACTGCGTGGCGGATCAGCTTCATACGCGGTACCGGACCCCACGACAATAGGACTATACGTCCAAGTAGATGTCGAGCTATGTGTGGGATATGGAACTTCTAACAGTGCCGAACTCTTTGAATGGACGCGTTTCTTAAAGAGCGACTCTGATTTGCTGCAAATCATTGGGGTATCACATCGGCCCTTGGGCCTCGTGTGCAACGACCAAGGCTTGCACGTGCGAGTACAAGAGATAGAGCCTTACAACAAGAAAAAGGCGTTGCTATTCATGACACGATCTCCGGAAGAGGCTCTAGAGTTCTACGGTCTTGACGTTGCCAAGTATCACACTGGCTTCACGGACGAGGAGGATCTCTTTGACTGGTCATGTAGTGGGAGGTTCTTCGCCCGTGAGATTTTTCAGAGTCGTACTGAGAAACACAATGATCGAGCACGCCAAATGAAGAGGCCCATGTACCGGCGGTTTGTTGAAGAGTACATTCCCTCGCATCCTGACAAGGGCGCTTGCGAGGCTTGGACACGGGATGAGGTGCTTCGCGAAGCCATCCGTGTCTTCGGAAAGCAAGCGGAGTATGATGCCATGATGGAAGAGCACAATCTCAAGACGGCAGAAGAAGAGCTCTGGAAAGAGGTCAAGGAAGCGGTGCCTGTACAGAGCAACTCTCTAGCCCTCATCCTCCGAGGCTTGAGACGCTGGGTCGCTTTTGAAAACGGACATCCCCTCATCACGAAAGAGCCAAATCTCGCGGAACCTCTAGTCTGGTCCAAGTTTGTGTCACCCGACGCCAGAGATGTCGTGCTAGCATGGGTGAAAGACAACTATGAGCGAGTCAAATCCCTGGAGAAGGCGCGTACAAGTGCATCCAAGGAAGCCGCAAAGAATATCCAGTAGTGGATAGCGCCTCTGTAGGCGAGGAGGATGGTAGTGTCCGCTCGGGTCCGTATAATCAATCGCAGTCGCGCACGTTTCTCGCTGCAAGTCTGCGAATTTTACCGCCCTGGTTTTCGTGACGTAAAGGCATATCTGCTAAGCCGATGCTTCCCACGCGATGCGGGCCTGGTCGATAGAGTGGTGGTCCGACGTGGTTCGGAATGCAAATTTTCAATTTCGAAGGGGTAATGGAAAGCAGTTTTGAAGGGGTAATGGAGTCGGTTTCGAAGGGGTAATGCACGCGCCTAACTGTGGGTCGCAGGCGTGGAGTGGGTTTGGTGGTCGGTCCGACCAGCAAGGCATGGGGCCTGGATCACAAATAATTTTTGCCTTTTTGGAAAACCATGTCGTCGACGAGCATGGCCTGCGCTAAGATAACCTGCCTATCGCGCCAAGACATGGCCATGTAATGTTTGCTATCTCGTTCAATCAGGTGCGGTACCGGATCCTGCCGAAATTTTATACCATCGTGTCGCGCCAATTGAATTTTGATCATCAGACACAGGCCATTGTGTTATCGCTTCCCCATATTACACGCTTCGTGACATATCCGTAGTGTTCCTATCTGCGTCGTCAGTGTACTACTAGGAGAAGGGAAAAAAACTCGCCACAGGCCCAGCCACGATGAACGACATGGACGGCTCGCCCCCAGAGCCCCAACTCCCAGAATCACACGTATTGATTATTATCACAGGTACGAGGCATTGCCAATTGACTTGGCCTTCATTTGATATTAACTTGGACAGGCGGCACAATATGCATGCGAAAGTCTGCAGACGGACTGGTCCCTGCCCGAGGGTTTCTCAAAGCTGGACTTGCACCTCGGCCTGTTTTCAATGACGGATCCTACCCAGAGCCTCTCGAAATTGTGGTCGACGACAAGGGTACGCGAAAGGCCGTGCAGAGCTTGAGGACTCCAGTCAGCACGTATGAACGCCGGGTTCGATACTGTGTGCTGGAGTTTGAAAAACTGCTTGATAGCAGCTCCATTGACTCGACCGGCTGGGACCAGATTGCGCGTACAGTGCAAAGGAACTACCAACTATTTGATGGCTTCGTCATCTTACATGGGACCGACTCACTGGCCTACACGTCGTCTGCGCTCAGTTTCATGTTTCACAATCTGGGAAAGCCCGTTGTCCTGACTGGGTCCCAAGCACCCATGATGAACCTGCAAACGGACGCCCAGGACAACCTGCTCAACTCGCTCATCATTGCTGGCCACTTTATGATTCCCGAAGTGTGTCTCTTCTTCAACTTCAAGTTGTTCCGAGGCAACCGTGCGACCAAGATATCTGCAGAGGACTTTGATGCATTCGGCAGTCCCAACCTGCCACCGTTGGCCACCATTTCCTCTACCAGGACCAATGTATTGTGGCATCGTGTTCATCGCTCCACCGACCTCAGTCCATTTACCATTCAGACAAACCTGGATACGGCACACGTAGCCTGTCTACGTGTCTTCCCGGGAATTACGCCTGCAATGGTGGATGCAGTCTTGCATCTGGAAGGGCTCAAGGGGCTCGTATTGGAGACGTTTGGAGCAGGAAACACACCTGGTGGGCCGGACAGCGCAATGACACGGTGCCTGGCCGACGCAGTGAAGAGGGGAATTGTGATTGTCAATGTAACACAGTGTCTGAGCGGCAGCGTTAGCGCGCTGTATGCTCCCGGAGCCTTTCTTGGGCGAGCGGGAGTTGTGTTTGGGCAGGATCTGACGTCAGAAGCAGCCCTTACCAAGCTGGCATACCTCCTCTCACTGCCGGGAGCGACGCCCGACGAGGTTGCAAAGCGCATGTCTGTTTCATTGCGTGGCGAGCTTACCGAGACGACACGAACTCATTTCGAGCACCCTTCGAGGAGCGGCGTACTTACCCCTGAGCTCTCCAGTCTCACAGCGCTCGGGTACGCGATCCAAAAGGGCGACTTGCAGGCGACGAGAGATATTATTCGAGGTGAACCTCGTTGGCTGCTCAACGATGCCGACTATCAGATGAACAGCCCAGTGGTAAGTGCATTTCTGTCCAGTCAGCATTCGTATACCTATCTCTACCCTCTGTCATGGTGTTGCAGCACGTTGCAACCGGCATCGCTAGGCAAGAGCCGGTATCGGAAAGAAGATGTGCACTTGCGGCAGCACAGGCAGCAGTGTCCTGAAGAGGGGCGACGCGTCTGTACATGGCGAGTGTCATAGATAAAGGCACAGGGAGGCCGTCGGCACAGGAGAGAACAGGGCATGATGCACATGCGCTTATCGCTCAGCTGGATTCCGGGCTGCATGCGGCGCAGCAAACGTGTGTGGAACATTATTCTTCCATACAATGACGCGTAATATTGCGATATGGTGCTGACTATGAACGTAGCACCTTGCGGCAACCAGCCCCAACGTAGAGATTCTGCGAGATTTTCTGGCACAGGGGGCCTCTGTGCATCTTCGAAACCGATCAGGCAATACCCCGCTCTTCCTGGCAGCAGCGGCAGGCCTGGCAGACCACGTTCAGACACTGATCGATGCGGGAGCCCATCTTCACAGTGACGAAGTGAGCGCGGCCAAGCTGTACGCATCGGAGGGCGACGGCAACGCTGAGATTTGGAGCCGTGTGATTGGGTGAGGGGCACATGCAACTCACATGGACGAAGCACTGGGGGGGGCCACAGTTGATTGTGGCTGCTTGCTGGCTGCTGCGGGCCCGGCGAAGGAATTGTTTATTTGATGGCACGTCGTCGGCAGGGTCTGGTGACGCCTGGGGTGAGGCGGATGCACGTCTGCAACGGCGAAAGCGGCAGCGGGTGAGTGGTTGGGCGTGGTTGACAATAGGCCGGATGCTATGAGCGGGCGCATCCTTCTCGGGGAGGTGAGCAGTGCAAGTGGGTGGTGATGGATGCGCAACAAACGGCGACCAAGGCGTGCTTACTTAGGCTGGCCCAGACGATGGCCATGGCATCCATGGTTGTGGCGAGACTCACGGGCAGGTGGACGCACTACTTACTCAACATGGCATCCGACGACAAGAGACAGGCGGCGCTGGATGTGGGGAAGCGGACTGCAACGAGTTTCCGCTTTGGAGATGCGAGGGGCCCTAGCAGGCCAGGGCCACTAAAGAGGGAGACATCGGGAGCTTGTTACAGTTAGTAAAAGAAATCTCTGTGCCAAGACCTGACACGCTGATGTCTGTCCCTTGCACTCAGACTTGGAGTAATTCCGCCCCTGGGAGCACGTCTTTATTCTTATTTTATTATTCACCACCGCACAAGCCGCTGGGGGCGGCAGACGCCTCCGAGCAAAGCATCGTCGTCCTACATCCTTACTTATCCAAGTACACATGCCTGGGTGCACCGGCATGCCCCTTGTCGTGCTGCTGCTGCTTCTCGACTCGCAAGTCCTCGTATGCCATGTGCTGCATGCATTTGTAGTAAGTACTATATGTACCATGTGTACGATTGCCATGTAGTAGTCCATGTATCCCCGCATCGATTCGCAGACTGGGTTGCAATCCTTTTGGATATAGTATGTACTATGTATGTACATTATTTTTTGCTAGTACATTCCAAAGGTGGAGCCCGCTCGTCTATGGATTAGCCTACCAAGCACGCCTCGCAGAGACCATGATAGTGCCTGTGTCTGTGTGTTGGGAAAAAGTGGAAAGGAAACAAAAAGGACAATGGCAACATTCTTTGCTTCGGCGTTTGATGTGGCAATGAATCTATGGCAATATCAACGCCAACGGTAGCGGTAGTGGCAGTGGTAGCGGCAGTGGCAAGGCAGAGACGATATCCGTACCCCCATACCCATACCCATACCCATACCCATATCCGTCCGTACCCTATCCTCGGCAGTGTGTCGTTGGGGAAATGGCAGCCAGCGTCCGCCGGCACGTTTCGCTGGCGTGCGGTGCTCAGTCCCTGGCCGCGGTCAGATGGTCGCCATGTTAAGCGGAGCCTATTCGCCCTTGCAGGTGGACTATTAGGTAAGTCTTTTCCCAGCAATGCAAATGACGAGGGCTAAACTTGGCTGCAAGGTCATACGAGAAGCGACTCAAATTCGTGCTTCTCCTGCTTCTCCGGCTCCTCCAACAAGTACCGCTTCTCTACCCCCAACAGCGTTGCCTCTGTCTACGTCAAAGGTATTGCCAGTCGGCCCGCCATCTAAACCTTAGCACTCGCCCGCTAGCCTCGCCTATACCCTGCATTGCCTGCCTCACGTGTCCCTCCCTCGATTGCACTATCAACCGCTCGACCCCTTGTGTCTGTGTGCGCGTGTGTGTGCGCCTTAGGGCCCGTCATAGTCTCCCCGCCGAACCCAACAACGGCTTTTTCCACATTACCACGGCCCTGACACAAACCCTTATCTCGTCTCCCTCCACTTTGCTCCCAAGACCGACCACCTGCTTTCCCCAAACCCCAGCTGACTATACCCGGGGATCCTCGCGCCTTGGCCCTGCTCTGCCTTTCCATATAGCATCCAACAGAGTACTCTTGTTCCGAAATCGCTCTCCTTCAACCCACCCAGGACCATCCACTCACTTTCTCTTTCCGGACCCGCCAGAGCCTCACCGCCACAACACCCTCCTTTACCTACTCTCTCCTCCCCCCAAAAAGAAAAAAAAACACACGAATGCAAAGGACAGTCGTTACCATCAACAGCAATGGCCGCCAATCGGCGAGCTTCATTCGCGTCGCTGCCGCACTAGGATGGCAGGTACGGGCCCAGATGCGAGACTTGAACGGCATAGTCGCCCGGGAGCTCTCTGAACTCGACAATGTCACCGTCTTCATCGGAGCCCTCGAAGACAAAAAATTTCTCGATGATCTCTTCAGAAGCGCTCAGTGCGCTTTCATCAACACCACGCACTGGGGCGACGAGGTTGCCATTGGTCGATCACTAGCCGATGCCGCAAAAAAAGCCGGAATCCAGCACTACATCTACTCGAGCATGCCCGACCACTCCGTATTTGGCCAAGGCTGGAAGGCACTACCAATGTGGGCTCCAAAATTCACCGTCGAGCAATATGTCCGCCAGATTGGTCTGCCGGCTACTTTTGTCTATTGCGGCGCATACCACAACAACTTTACCGGCCTCGATTTCCCCCTGTTTCGCATGGAACATCAGCATGACGGCAGCTTTGTCTGGCAGGCCCCATTTCACCCAGATCAGCCACTCCCGTGGCTAGATTCAGAGCACGACGTTGGTCCAGCTATATTCCAACTATTTAAGGAAGGTCCACGTAAGTGGAACGGCAAGCGGTAAGCGTGTCCTGCATCTGCGTATCTTGGTCCACTTCGTTCGCCCGTTCCCCACAATGGTTCCATCAGGTGGTCTACCATCACCAGTTGCAAACGTCAAATTTTCCACTGCTTGCGCACCCACTCATGACGCAGCCATGGTCGCATGGAGCTTGCAGAATATGCGCCGCCGTTTTTTTTCCCAATTTTTGAGTAAAATGCTGACTAGTTTAGGATACCACTGGCGTTTGCATCCATGACTCCAAGACAAGTCTGCAAGGCTTTTAGTGTCGGCCTCAAGAGACCAGTTCGCTACAAGCGGGGCCCCATAATGATCAACGTTCCCACACCCGCAGGCTACCGGGAGCATCTCGCTGCACTCGAGTATACCCTAGGCGAAAAAGGCGCACCTTACTTTGGACCCGATCTCGAGCCGGACGTCCCCGCTGTCGCACTGTCGCTGTGGGAAGGAAACCGTTCCATGGAGGAGTACGCCCAAGAGGTTTTCCCCGTGGAAGAAGCGGCCAATGGTCTTACTTGGATGGAAGAGGTAGAGACGCCTAGGAGAGAGATTGAAATCGACTTTGAACAGATCAATTGCTGACAATTGACGTCAACATTCCAGGGCGAGCAATTCCAGCAACCCAGCGTCATCCTGGGTTTGAGCGAGCAGCTCAACCAAGCGAGGCTCTGAATTCCTTCGGTTCGACATGTTCCTTAGTTCCAATGGCGTCGGGCGGTTGCATCTCAAAGGCGTCTGACCTCCCTTTTCCTTTGGAGTACCCTGGTAGAAAAGTGGTGCCAAAGTGGCCACTGGATGCCTAACACGGAAGTACCGATACCCACATGATGTTATCTGGCCATCTTGTAACCACACCTGCCTTTTTGTTGGAGCATTGGTGTTTGGGCTTCCTTTTTCAGCATGGGCGGAGTGTACTGCGTTTTTTCCTCAAACGGCGGTGATTTGCATTCCAACAAAAGTTATCCTTTCTTTTTTCTAATTCGTATGTCACGAGACGACTGTTCATGAGCGTGTTTGCGTAGGGGGGTGCATTTTTGGGTCGGGTTTCAAGGGGGCAACTGTAGTCAGCATATGGAAATAGATATTCACAATACGATCCACTCCACAAGAAAACAGAGATTTATTGAAGAAATGGTCATAAGAAAAAGCATTGATAGTGAGACATGTGCGAATACGAGCTGTGTAACCTGCCAAGCATAATGCGGAGTAACGTGCTCCACCAGTAAGCTGGGCAAACCAGTAAGCTGGGCACCCCACCAAACCTGACGCGACTCTCTGCGCAATTGAGCCACAACAACGCAATAGAATAAGATAAAATTAAGAGATATAATTCATTATCTAGCTTTATACGTCATGCGAGTGTGTCCTTAAATATGGCACTTTATACACGTCGGCGGCGCGCGTTAACGTCGCTGACTGCTCTTACTCTAATTAGTGCCTATAATTACCCTTTCTGCCTCTGCAGTAAGCTGCTGAGCCTGCGGCACCTAGAGTACTCTACTAGAAGTAATATATTGACGCCGCTAATCTTGCTTTTGTTATTAACGCTAGTTAGCTATACGTAGCTTCTTA